ATTTGTCTAACCATATTAATAGAAGAAATAATTGGCATGAAATTTGAAATACGATTGTAACAAATTCATCTAGTATAACTATTAATGTTATTTTTGAAAGATTTAATATGCCCGAATCATATAATTCAAGTGATAGTATCATGAGGGAAATATATACACAATGTACTCTTTTTTTCTTGAATAAGACTTTGTCTCATTGAATTTTTTTGACAAGATTTTTAATGAGACAATTTTTGTGACATTTAAAAGAATAATGTACTATTTTTCCTTCATTAGAATTTTTTCAAGAGACTTTTTCTAATACGATTTTAACTATGCATATTCATTTTATAATGAATGTCTATAATCTACAAGACATTTACCCTCAAAATAATAATCTTATATGTATGAGACTCCTGAAAAGAAGAACAAGAGCTATTTTTCGAATAATCATGTTACTCGGTCATCATAGGGTTGATAAATCTAGTATGAAGACTATACGAGAAAAAATGACTAGAATTGCAATATTGAAGACATTGAAGTACAATACATGGCTGGCTCGATATAAAAAATTTCATTTATCGAAATCATGGGAGCAACTTTACTCTTTCCCTTGGCTCAAGTTTTGTCCCATTAGATTTTTTTGACAAGATCTTAACAAGGCAAATTTTTTATAATGTATCATTTAAGGGGGAAGTGTTGTAAATTATATATTTATTAGTGAATGATCATTATATAATAGTTACATTGGTATTTAAATTATACCTAATTAAAGATGTTAAAAGTAGAATCTGAGAAGCTACCATTTTACTGATTCCCTAAATCTTTTGCCAAAATTTTTTATAATTTTTTTAAAGCTGGGATCTAAAATCAATCCCAAAGGAGACCGTATTAACCTATATTGTTGAATCCTAAATTGAAAGTTTAATAACGATGACTCTTGTATTACAACTATAAAAGGAACCTCTCATCCATTGTATAGCCTATGTTGTTGAATTCTATATCGAAGGTTTAATAATGATTAGTCTCCTATAAAGCTACTGCCACTGTTTAATTATTTTTCATTTCGAAATATGCTTTACATGTAACTAGTCCTCCCGAGATCTTGAAATGGTACCAACAACATAACTCAGCAATCAAATAAATAAGCCTAATAACAAACTAAAAGTGGTGACGGCCACGAATTAGGTTTATTAAACCCCTTTGATGCAATAATTTTCAGTAACCTCATTGTTCAGTAAATTGAAAAAGTGCACTACAAAGTATGTTTTGACAACTTCAAAGCAGTATTAAAAACCTTTTCTTTGTTCGAGAATTGAAATTCGTAATTGACCTATAAACTGGCTCATGAAACGGTCAAAATGCAAAATTTTCTTTATTTTTGGGGGGTTGGATGGACTCTACCCCACCCTTTACTAAGAGGAACCTCTTGACTATGCATACTTATTCGAAAGTACTCGAAGACACGCTGTGGTAGGCCTCTTAATGACCGTCGAGTAGCCTTAGATGGCATAACTGGATACCTCAAGAACAGTGCACGTGTATTTTAAATATGATATAGATATGAACTTACAATATCCAACCTCGTAAGGGAAATAGAAGACATCCTACAAAACGCATTCGCATCCGCCATAGTCGTTGTGGCCGATCTGGAGCCACTGCAGCAAAACACATTATTTCCTCTACTTTGACAATTAATTGATGAATTTGACATTCTCTTAAATAAATAAACATAAAACATAGTAAAATAACAAAAAAAAAAAAAA